CCTGATTAGGATACTTATACAAGTTCATAAGAAACTGTTCTGTAATTACATTGAACCCCAACTTTGCATCATAAGCTACCAGGAGACAAGTCTTATAAAAGCAAAATTGCATATCAATGGTACGTTTCAACTGTCTTTAGCCCTCAACTTTTATTCTGGCCTATGATATCTAGTAAAACCCTTACACAGCTTTAGCCCTCAACCTTTACTCTGGCCTATGATATCTAGTAAAACCCTTACACAGCTTTAGCCCTCAACCTTTACTCTGGCCTATGATATCTAGTAAAACCCTTACACAGCTTTAGCCCTCAACCTTTATTCTGGCCTATAATATCTAGTAAAACCCTTACATATCTTTAGCCCTCAACTTTTATTCCAGCCTATGATATCTAGTAAAACCCTTACATAGCTTTAGCCCTCAACTTTTATTCTGGCCTATGATATCTAGTATTACATAGCTGCAGTAGTTAAAAATCTTGTATGTTTTTCCTGATATATGTAAATGAACTATGGTTGGCTGTGCTCTGGTACCATTTCCATAGTACAGAGCTGGCCAGAACTTTGAGCTATCCTTTAGAGTCAGGTAGGAACTGAGAGTTTTGAAGTCAAGCTCACCAGAGTACTCTGGAGCCTGTAGCTAGAGCTGCTCCACGTTTTTCTACAATCCCTATAAATTTTGTATTATGTAAATTAAAATATATAACTATAAAGGTACACCCACAAAAGAATAAGCTTCCCAAATGTTTTTCAAAAATATTTAATGTACTTTTACAATTGATGTAAAGGGTGAGGAGAATATAAAGTATTTCATCTGTTGAAGTAGCCGTATAACTGATCTGAAAGACTGAATTTACTTGTATTGTCAGTTGGTATTGTGCTGATTGCCAGAGAAAGCAGTATAATTAAAACTTTGTATTCTTAAGGTAGTAGTTAAAATAATACGACTTATTTATGCACAAAAGATTTTCCATACAATGAGACTCAACATATTCGAACTGTGATTTTAGGAAGGCCTGTATGGAAAAGTTATAGATTTGTTCTGAAGATAAACCAAGTCATTTAAAGGGTAATACAGGACTTTATGGTACATTTTGCTATTTATGGCATTATATCTAACTCCTTGGATTTTTCTGCACCTACTATCTTCTCTCAGAGTTCAGAAAATGTATAGCTTAATGAGAACCTTTTGATTATTTTAATCTCTAATTTAATCACAAAATACAAGTTACTATCTTCTTTTGGAATAAAAACAATTCAAGATATTTAATTAACCTTTATTTTTTTTTACTCAAGGGTTCGATTGAAAGTTTAATTGCAATGAAAATTAGAACTACAGGGGTATTCTTGATTGAATATATTGAAACTTGGAGAGACAAAAACATAAAAGTAATGGGCCAAACTAAATGTTATTAAAAACAGTTCAACTATTAAGTTGATCTGTGTTATTTTTTAATATGTTTGGATCATTTATTAATAAAAGAGTTTTAATATATTCATGTTAATGTTGTTGTTGTTTTTTTTGTTGAAAATGAAACTGAAAAGTTTATAAAACATATAACACTTTAAAATCAGATTTCTCATTCCCCAGCCCTTTTACTGTAAAATGTATTTACCCTATGAACTATTAATTCTAAATAACAACAAATCAAAACCACAAATATTATTATTCTAGTTAGCCCTATGGTTCTGTTATTCCGAAGCCAGAGCCAAAAAAGGCAGCAAGAACTGGAGCACCAGTGTGGAACAACTCCAGGGCTAGAACAGGGGCTGTTGGAGTCAGTCTAGAGCTGAACTACTGGAGTCAAAGCCAGCAAACCCAGAACACTGCCAACCCTAGTACAAGCAAAGTTTTGTATTTTTCCAATTCTAATGTCATAAATAACTCAGAGATGTTTAACCCTTTGACTGTGGCTGCTTTTAACACACATGGAATTTTTGCAAGCCGTACACTGTATACAGCACTCAACTGATAGAGTTGAATCAGTTGATCATGATTCACTTGTGAGATAATACACGTATTTAATGGTATGTAACAGTCATAACAAAAATAAAAAGCATTTTCATTTGTAAAAAACAAGCTTTATTTCATTCATGATTTCATAATTATTAATATTGTACGTAGTTCTTTCAGCTTTTTAATGCTTACAAATTTTAAATGGTAATGCATACTGTACAGTGGCAGTTTTAATCATAAAGACTTACATGTTAAAGAGTACATACCTGTAACTCCTACACAAATCAAAACTTATTATAAAGCATTAAACACAAAATAATGACAAAAATAAAGAACATATCTACATCATGTTGACCCAAATGAATAAACTAAATGTGAACAAAAAAAAACGAGAAATTTGTCACTGGCAATTTTATTGACATATTAAGTTTACCCTCTTAAATATTACTATAAAATAGTTTTATAACGTCAAGATTTTTGTTTTACTTTTCACCTGCATTTTTAAGTTGATGCTACTAGATACACTATTTTTATTCCCCAAACCAAGATATTTGTAATTAAAAAGTAAAAATATAAAACATTTACAAAATACATATTCTTTGTTCAGATATTATGTAAGCTGGGAAATCTTAATTAATATAGTATACACAAGTTTATTCAGCACTCTTTTGAAGTGAAATAAAAGCTTAAGATATGACTGAATAAATCGATTTTCCTTCAAATGAAAGTGTACAACACCAGACCCAACTATGAGGTCCGTATTACACTTGTTTTAGCTTGGACAGTTTGCAATTCATAATTCTTTTAACATGTTCATATTTTGTATGTAAGTAGGTATACAATCATTATGCTCTTAGAACTGTTCAAAGTAATTATTATTTGTCAAAATTAAGACTAAAAAGTTAGCTTTCTTTCCATATATTGCCTTTTATTTTTACATATTGACTTCCCACTCATCAAGCAGCATACCAGACAATAGAATCTTCTCATCAAGTTCTGGAGAATTTTTATTTAGTCTTGGGGAACGCCTCAAGGGTATATTTTGTGATGTGGGGGTTTTAAAGCCCTCACTATCCTTTATTACACCTCGCTGTGATGGAGTACGCCTGCTGCCTCTCCTCTTGAATGAACTTCTCGAAAATTCTTTACTTCTTGGAGGACGAAGTTGATCATTTCCTGATGATTTTGGTGTTTGGATTTGTTGACTTTTTTCATTATTATCAGTTTTGTTTATATTTGTATTGTCTTTAAGAGGAGAAGGTCTCTTGCATGTTGTTCTATCAGGAGATAAGCTACCAGAACATTTACTTGAGTGTTTGCCTTTCCTCTGTGTTGGTGTTTTTTTTAGTTCATTTTTATCTTGTTTAGGTTTTCTTTTTTTCTATCACCTTCATCCATACTCATAGACCTACGTCGTGGAAACCCAGTCAAAGGTAAGTTAGCTGGCAACTGACCACGCAGAATCCTTCCAGTTCCAGAAGGTCTGTCACGAAGTGACCTTGTGAAAGCAGAATTCCTTACAAAAATACTTGGAACTCGAATGGGAGTGTTGTGAGGAGTTCCCCGTCTAGAGCGCCGGTCAAGTCTGCTGGGAGTACAATGGAGCGACGTAGTGATACTGTTGTACTTCATTATGCTTGCCTGGACCATGCCAGCATTACGAATTCGGAGCTTTACAATACTGTCTCTTTTTGTTCCATCACAGGCATCTTCCAGTTGTTGGAGATCCTCAGATAAAACTTTTTGAGCTTCTATCCATATACACTTAGTGGGATCTTCACTCTGTTGATAGTGATTATCCTGGGATTTTGTTTTTTTGCCACTTACTTCCACAGTTTGTGTTTTCTCAGTCGATCCTTTTCTCTCCAGTGGTGTGTTGATGTTATTACCCGATAGTTTTATTTTCTTCAAGGGCGTGTTCTCCTTAGATTGTGCCTTTTCTGGTTTTAACTCTGTACTTTCATGGCTGCATAAATTTGTCTGGATTTCCAATATCTGCCCTGCCTTGCTTAATACTTGCAAAGTTTCACCCGTTAGTGGGGCAAATGTTGCTCCAGTGTGGCTGTGGAACTCAGAAAAGGTAGAAGACCGTCGAACTTTCCGATACAGTTTTGACCTACCGTGTCTCATTGAAGGCAAAGAGCTACGTTTATCTAGTTTCCTTTTTCGGGTATGTCTCTCATCTATTACAGAACCTCCAAGACCACTATCAAAAGAGGTAACTGACTGGATGTCATCATTTTTATCAACAGACTCCATGATTCCTTCTTCACTAGCCAAGGGATGTGGAGTAGGATTACAGTTTACTTCTTTGCTGTAGGAAGGAGAAAGCTTTTGTTGGATGGGTTTTTTTTCTGTGCTGGATTCCACATCATTGCTGTTGATAGAAAACAGCGTGTTTAGCCCTAAGGATTGAACACTACAACCTGAAAGCTCTGACTGGCCCTCAGTTGGAATTCCAAACATGGTAAGTACATCAGAGCCAAAATCACTCATTTCAATACAACTAATATCAGAACTGTTTTTGTTGGAACAAGTTGTGTTCTGACTGGTATTTTCCACTAAAGTGACATCTTCAGAAGCAAGACCAACAGAAAACTCTTTGCTAAAAACATCATCCTCTGTTCTTGTTCTTTCATCAGGAATATCGCCTTCAAATGTCAGTTTAGCAACAACATCTTGAACCTCTGGACTGTTCCATTCTTGTTTGATTAATCTCTCATCAGGCTCACTTTGATGCACATTCTTACCATCAGTTGCAATGAAGTCAGGTGACAAGTATGATGTATAAAGTACTAAAGAATCAGAGTTATGTTTAGGCCTACAGTCAGATGGTAAACCTGTTTTAATTGTATTTGGTCTTCCACGACGTAGGGAGCTTTTGGGAGCATATTGTTCACAATTAGTTGCTACTGTTGGTGTTTCAGGATGTTTTAGCTGATTATCGTTACCATTCTCCACAAACTTCATTGTGTTGTTTACTTCACTGACACTAAATGTACCCTGATGTTTTCTTCGAATGCTACCTACTTTTCGGGCAGAATTTTGTGGTTTCACTAGACCTACATTTGATAAATTGCTTCTCAAAAACTTTGTCTGAGTTGAGTTTTCTGATGCATGCTTGGTATCAACAGAAGTCATTGAATTCTTATCATCATTTACAGTATAAACATGTTGATGAATATGAGTGAGAGATTCTGTACAATTCTCTTCCATACGGCTATCTTCCTTAGAAGATGATAAAGACAACTTTACTCCATCTGGACTGTTTTCTTTTTTAATCTCTGAGGTGCTGTTTACCAAGGCTGAATCTACTGAAACAATGGAGTTAGTCTCAGTTTGAAGAACCATATCTGGTTCACTGTCTAGACTTTCATTTTTTGTACTGATATCAGTCTCAAACTCTGACAAATGCAATCTCAGTCGATAAGGACTCTTGGAAAAAGTAATGAAATTAACATTATGATTGTTTAGTGGGTTTGCTAAAGAAACATCATTTTCTGAGCCATGGTATTTGTGAGACAGTTGACTTTTAGGAGTATGTAAAGACAAAGATTCTACCTTTTCAGTTACAGAATCATTTAAAGATTTGTTGCGAGTTCCTGAAATATTGGCAGATAATTTATGAGCTTCTACCTGATGTGGTCTAACACTGGGTCCAGGAGATGGCAGCTTGACAGCCATCCGATCAGGAAGTGATGTAGGTTTACTGAGCTGCACCTGGCCACTTCTAGTTGTATCCTTTAAAATAAAAAAAGGAGACAAACCTTCAATAATGTATACCTCGATTATTTTAGCTTTTTTCTTTTGTTTCAGTTGCTTCGAACAGGTGGTGCTTAAGTCTCAATAAAAACTTTTGAAAATCCTTTTTAATCTTAAGTTTACTATAATGGATAAGCATAAGCCTAGGGTTAGGTGTATTGATTTTCACAACAAATATTCACATATATTTGTATCTCAAAAAAATAGGTTACTTTTAAATTTCCATTTGATCATTTTAAACCATGATGTCTTATTCTTCAGTTAAAATGTATTAAAATGTAAAATAAATTAAAAGTCAACCTATTTATGAATATGTATCCATACACACACACACACACACACATATATATATATATCACAAATATTAAAGAACCACCATGTTCAAAATACTGTATTTTCTAATATCTTTGGTTGGTTGGAAGCACTTTTGCAGCTTACAACACTCTTCAGCCAACCTAATTAAATACAATACTTTTTTAACAAAATCAAAATCCATGTACAATAAATACATCCCAGTAAAAATGTATTAACAAAAGTATAAATTAATTTTATGTTATTTCAAATCCATAAACAGTGTAATATTATAAATAAAATACATTTATCCACAAAAATAACATTTAAATAAAACATAACTAAATACTTATAAAATTGAAATGAATTCCAAGTTTGTTTATGAAATAACTTTTATATACTAATCATTTTTGTTGACTATCACAAGACCAAAATGCAATATACCATGGGTACTTAAGATACAATTGTAAAAACGTTGAAAGTATCTTAATGGACTTGGATTTTTAACATGAAACTTATGTTGATTCATTCTATATCTTAAATTTTCAGTTTGGCAAATGGAACATTCACAATGTACTGTACATTTTAACATATAGATACAGTTCTTAGAACTGCAAAAAAACAAAAACAAAAAAAAAACTTTTGATTTTAAGCATAATGGTTTTATCCATGTTTTTGATAATATTGATATTAATATAATAACCTAGATTACAGATTTGATTCCTTAGGTTTTTTTTCACTGAGTGATACATTCTTGTCTATTTTAAGTTTTATATTTATAACAAAGTAAAGGGTTTAAAGTTTTTGGGTGTCTATAAACTACAATAACAAAGGGATTACTTACAGCTATAGGTGTATAAGAATTGATCAAACTCTTACATTCTCTGATTTTAACTTTTAATCCTGGGGTATACGTAGTGACAACTGGTAAAATTTCTGCCTTACTAATAGCTTTTGGTCCATGTAATACATATATATATAGCAACACCATTATTGGTCCTGGTTGTCAACTTATTGTCATAACAGATAATATCTGTGGCAATAGCACCCAAATGCATTGGGGATATCCCATCTATCAGACAAAATCCAAATGCCAATGTCAATCTACTCAGCTGTCATGGAAAATCACAAAATAATCAATCAAATAAGGGTACAAAGCTGAGTGCTTACACCCACAATATCTCAGCTTCTACTGCCTTTCACTGTCTATAGCCAGTTGTGGGAAGGCAGTTACCCTTAAATTCCTTAAAGTAGAAATGAACTGAAATGAATCCACCCTAATATTTCTACTAATTAAACTCCCAACCTCCACCCTATCTTAAAAGTTCATATATAGTTCTAACTCTCCACCTCCTCCCTTTCTCCTGAAGGTTTATTCAAGTATAACTAGGGAAGGCCGAGACAAGCTCAGCTACTTGAAGTTAGTCTTTCCGTCCCGGTTATACTGAATAAAATTACTTGAAAAATTACTATCAGCTACTTATATGCTAAAGTAACTAACTCCCTCTTTACTTTATTTATTTATTTTTATAAGATATTTTCCTTAATTGATAGTTTAGTTTCTAAAATATTTTTGTATTTATTAAAAAATAAAGTAAGGTATTTATTTAATTGCCTGTCTTTATAGCCATTATCTTTCAGTTTTACTTTTTAGTAATAAAACATTATCCATAAAAAAATTATCGTTATTACAGACTATTAAGAACCGTTTTAGTTGAGATACAATAATACCTTTCACCATGATACATGGAACAACACTATTAGTTGTGGGTAGACCAAGAATTATCTTCTTTTATTAAAAATAGTCAACCACACTATTATTACTTACTTCTATTTCAAGTTCTGTTAGATATATTCAGTTTGGTGTAAAATGCATATTATTTATAGATATTAAATCATCTTTGTAATGGAATGTGTAAATGTATAAGTTAGGATTTAAAGTCTGCTTCATAAATGAGTTTTTCATAAAAGAACAGATACAGGTTGGCCATATTTGAAGAGAAGTTCATTGCCATTGGAATACCCACCATTTGCTTATATACATGTTTGTTAAAAACAATATAACTGTTATAAATACAGAAACGGAGTATATTTTTACAGTTATTTCATTATTTATAAAGTTATCAAACAAATCATTGAAAACCCTGATTAAATCTTTCAGGTCTATTTTAGTATAAGGTACTAAAGTCGTATGTAAAAATAGAACTGGCAATTTTTGAAGAATTTAAATTACTTACACATTCCAAAACTGGAATGCTATTTTTAATAATCCAAAAAAGAATTATTCTGGTTATTTGAAGACTGTGTTATTTTTTCAAACAAGACATCTGGAATATTGCTAAGTACCACGGAAACAGATCTAATTACTGTATTTAAAGAATTAGTAACAAATCTGAATTTCACAGGACTTCTATGCAATTTTGGAATTGCAAATAGAAATGATAAATTCGTACAAGAATAATCAGTATGGATTTTTATTTTTTAACTCTTTCAGCACAGGATCGGTCCTAGGGACTGACCTCATAACCATTTTGTGATTGTTATAGTAATCATGCTATAACTTTTAAAATAGTAAGCGAATGTCAATGAAATTTGGCAGATTATCAGTAAACATTACAATGCTTTCATATGTAAAATATCTAATTTTGTTTATTAAGTCTTAAAGTTTGTAAAGCAATGTTTTTCTCGTGCCTTTTTTTTTTCTTTTCATATGTTGGCTATCTATCATGCAAAGTAATTTTCATTTTAAGATTAAAAATACTTTTATGCATCAGAAAGTTTTCAAATTTCACATGCAAAATCTTTATAATGTCCAGATAGTTATCGAACATTTCTTAACTTAAAATTTTTTTTTATTATTAGTTATTTTTAGTAATTAATCTCTGTATGGATTTGGTAGATTTGACCGATCTCGCAACCACCATAAAAAATTAGGAAACAAATAGAAATTATGACTCTTTCATTCTAGAATGAACACAAAAACATAAATGTTTAGACTAAATAGCTTACATCTCATAACATTATACATTTTTATATATTTATTATACTGACCTTTCAGCTGTGCCTGGCTAACAATACAGAAGCTACAATGATGCGGCTCACGTGCAATCATGTTACTGTATCAAATAACATAAAACTTACATTTGGTCTGTACAATATAACTTGTCTTGGCTGTGTTTTAATGGACTAGTATTTTTTAAAATACAATCACATTTCAATTATTACACATCACATATGTATATAGATTATTGTTATTTAGAAATAAGTTCTTAAACTTACTTTTCCTAAAACACAGAACAGTAAATAATGAAGTATAGTAAACAATTATCTCTTCTAGTTATGACCTTTGTACTTGGTTGCTGCTTGACATAGGTTGCTAAGCTTTCAAAAATTTTGCACGTAGAGGATATGAAACGAAATAATTTTTTTTAGCTTTTATATATACAGTTGAATAACCAAAGAAATCATAAATTACAATATCTATACCACAGAATTCCATTATAATTTATCAAGCTTAGTATCTAAGAGATAAATTTCTACTGATTTTGAAATTTATCCATTTCAATTACAACAATGCATGTCCCAGAAATTGTCAAGATCGACTCTATAAAATATGGCCGACTTACAGTTACATTGTAAGCAACTTCAAAACTGTATATACCCAACAGGAAAAACTATTCTTAGATGAAGGAATGCTCAGCTGGCAAGGTCGTTTAATATTTCATCTTTACAATCTACAAAAACCTGTCAAGTATGGGATGAAAGGGTAAGTTGTTTTCAGAGTCTGCTAGTGGACATATTTGCAACTATGACCTCTACTGTGAGGTTGACAAAATGCTGCAGCAAAGCTGTGGTGGTCTCCTGGAATACCTGTACATGTTTGGCTGCAAGGTATACATGGACAATTATTATAAAAGTATGGCCCTATCCAAATTATTGCTGGCAGATGAATGAAAGATCCATGATTTGCGGCATGAAGCCGACAGGCTGCAGAAGGGTATTGTGGGTGTTTGTCGAGATAGAGACATATTAATGTGGAAAGACAAATGGCCAGTAAAAATTATTACCACACTTCATGATTCCAGGATAGAGGACTCTGGCAAAAACAATCAACCCACTGGAAAACCAGCTCGTGGGCTCGATTACAACAGACACATCTGGCATTGAGAAACTTGATCAAATGACAAAATACTATCCTTTTACAAAGTGGACAAAGAAATTTGTTCTGTATATGTTTGAACTTTGCATGGTCAACTCACACATCTTGTACAATCAGGGAAATCCAGAGAAAAAAACTCTCATTGCTGAATTTCAAAATGGAAGTGACTGATGGTATTCTGGCAGAATTCGGACATGCACAAGCTACCCTTCCCCTATTTCCTCTGATAGTGAAGAGGAAACATCCAAAGCTGTGGTATGTCCTCAGACTCCGAAAATTGATCCTGCTACACATCTAATTTGTGGACTCAAAGAACATGACTTGGTGACAATGCCACCAATCAATAGAAAGAAATATCCTACTAAGCCATTGCAGAGCTTAAAAAAAAAGGTAAATGCTCAGAAACAAGGTTTTATTGTAAGAGATGTGAAGTCCTGCTCTACCAATGGGAATGCTAAAAAAAATACCATGTTTATACTTATTTCTGACAAGTTAAGGCATTCCTACATATGTACATGAATATTCCTTACTGTGGAACACTGAAAGTGTTATTATTTCAAGTGATAAGGTGGGCAGCTTGAAATCATATCTTTTCTCAAAAAATGGTTAGTCAGATGGGGCTAGCCTTTGAAAAAAGGGGTTAGCAGTGAAAGTGTTAACAAGAAAGAAAAGAGAGAAATACTAGATTGAATGAATTAAAAACGTTTTTATTAAATAGCAATTATCCAGAGGGCCTAATTGACAACTGAATATTTTGCACCAAAGCTATTAATAAGGCAAAAATTTTACCAGTTGTCACTACGTATACCCCAGGATTAAAAATTAAAATTAAGGAGTGTTAGAGTTTGATCAATTCTTATACATCTATAGCTGTAAGTAATGCCATTATTATCATGGTTTATAGACAGCCAAAAACTTTAAACCCTTCATTTTGTTATAAATATAAAACTGAAAATAGACAAGAAGGAATAACTCAGTATAAAAACATAAGAAGTCAACTCTGTAATCTAGGTTATTATATTAATATCAATATTATTAAAAACATAGATAAAACCATTATGTTTAAAATCAGAAATGTTGTGCAGTTTTATATGCGAGACTGGCATATGTTAAGACAGATAGATGGTGTATCCAAACTGCAATATCACTTCAGTCACCTCCAAAACCCAGGGCACATTTTACATCCAACATTATAGCCTGCACCCTGGGGATCCTTTTAATTTATTCGTTAATTAATTTTGTTTGGGTTATATATGTATGTATATGAAGGAATAAATACCTTCAATACTATTATTTACATTAACTGTTAACCCTTTCTATACGGGGCATGGGTGAAAGGCCATGTCATCTCATTTGTTGACTGGCATTCAAAATTTTATTGGACTACTGTTTCATGAAGTTATGTCAATAAGTTTGGTATCAAACTGTAGCCTATAATTCAAATTTTAGTATTACACCTTACTCAATTTCTTAATTTAAAAGTGCTGCATTCAACATACCACGTGACACACAAAAATCGATGTTTATCTGTGTTTTAATATTTACTTTTAAATTTAGAAATTGAATAATGTCTAGTACTAAAACATGAATTATAATCTACAGTATGATACCAAAGTTATTGACACACATTCATGAAATAGTAGTTCAATAAAATTTTGAATGCGATTCAACAAATGAGATGACATGGCCTTTCACCTGTGAATCGTCTTGTGAGGGTTGAGGGGAGGAAAATCTTTGGGGGTTTCTTCATGGCTTTGAACTTATAAAGTAAGCCTGTATTTAAATCTAATAGGGTGGCCAAATTCTTTCCAAAGTTTTTTTTTTTCCCAGAGCTACCCACATGCACTTCTGATACACACTGAAGTTTCAAGTTTTCCTCATAGTTCTACTTAATTAACACTACTTTATCTTGTCCTTATATATGTAAGTATATTATGCTAATATAATAGTAAACTGACCTAAAGAAGGTACCTGAAACATGTAGTATATTCTCCAAAATAAAAACATTTCATTATGTTTGTAAACTATTGTTTATCAATTTACTCTATCTTGTAATCTGGATAGAAATTGCAATGAAAACTTCAGGCTGCAGTAAGACAGAAAAAAATAATATCTTCAAAAAATTTGATGGTAGATAGAATATTGAATTATTATTCATAAAATAATATTTGACTAATCTATAACAAATATAACAAGTTAGATCGGGGTGGTGGTGCTCAGTGGCCCTGTACAGTGGTTTTGAAAATAAAGTGACTAACTGACCAACATTATGTTACAATATATCAATAACTGGCATAGCTAAACAGTATGGTTTGTGCATACTGGTAGGTTTTGAATCTCAAATAAAAAAGGAGCATACATTTTCTCCTGACTTTTACTGGTTTGTGACCACTTTGTACTAGGAGGTATTGAACAAATGTTTGATCACCAAGGCACACATTTTTTGGCCCATTTCAATATTTTGTGTCTTAATATCAACATTGCATGAACCAGAGCGGATTGTTCAAGACTGCTTAATGCCACTGCAGACCCCTATACTATAATAGGTATCTATATTATACATTTGTGTATTACCAATATTAATTTTATATGACTTAATACCAGTGGCTGAAAGTTTACAAAAATATTGTAATGTGGATGGCTGGTTTAATCCACAGTTATTATACTACATTTCAATGAAAATAAGCATAAAACTACAAATTATAATATGGTCTATAAAATGTTCAAAATTCACAGAATATTTTAATTTTTTCCTTAAACCCTGTCCAGATCTCTTCTAGATTGTATTCATGGCAATTGGAACCAATAGCACTTTGTTAAAGAGGA